TCAACTGAAGAACTTCACATCGGGACCCATAGCTTAGAATGGAATGAACAGGATGAGAGACTGTCTGAGTTCATCACGTCGACCAAGACCATCCATGGTAACTCACAGTTTCAGAAGGCAGAATCTAAACGTTGGACATGGGAGTCTCCCAGTGGACGATTCCACAACGAAATAGACCACATCATATTCAATCGACGGTTTTGCCTGATCGATGTCGCTGTTGTCCCAAAATTCCGAATGGGATCGGACCACCGTCTCCTTCGTGCAAAATTCTACTTCACTGAGCGGGAGTGCAGATGTCATTTCGACTATACTTTTTTGCCTTTCTGGCATATATTCCCAGGAGTGGTATTGCTGGGTCAAATGGGAGCTCAATTTCTAATTTTTTGAGAATCATTTATACTGTTTTCCAAGAGGGTTGAACCATAGTCACATTCCCACCAGCAGTAAAGGAGGATCCCTTTCTCGCCACATCCATGCCAGCACCGGTTGCTTTTGTTCTTGTGGATGTGGGCCAGTCTCTGTGGTGTGAAATAAAAAAAAATTAAAAAAGATAAAGTTCATTTTCGTCATCAGTAAAATGACAATAATAGTACACATATAAATAGATGCATTATGAAGTTTAAATGAATCAATAAATTGAAAACACCTATACTTGGTACATAGTAACTTCTCAGTAAGTTTTAGTTGTTAACTTAACATTTTCTCTAATTTCAAAGAATCATACATAGTCTATTTCATGTTTTGCTTAAGTGACTAAGTTAAAAACTATAATGATATGTAAGGTATTTATCCTTATTTTCAGTGATCTCAGACTACTGTAGCTTAAAATTCCCTATGTTTATCATTTTCCTGTTATTTCCTTGCTATTATAGCTACTTCTAGAAAACACCAGTGTGTTTGTTCATAGATTTCTTACTATAAATTAATATATCATACTTAACATTTTGTGGACTAAGTAAACACAATACCCAACTTCTTAAAGTGTATAAAGTAATGGTTAAGTAACTATGAAAAACATCCTTCATCATAGGAAATTTTCATGAAAAAAGTATGCTAGTAAATGGGAATACCGATTTATAGTATGCTTTTTGTGTTTTAATCTTGATTGTGAGCAGAAATTAGTCTTAAATTTCTGAATAACAATTTCCTGTGATAATTACATTAGTATCTCATTAGCATGAAATCTGTACAAGGGCACTATGGATTGGTGGAAACAGCAAAATCAGCTGAGATCAAATTTTGATTCTAGGTTCCCAAGTGATTTGAGAGATCTATTACTTTTGTACCTCATTTTCTTCCAATATATTATAGTTGTCACTCTCTATTTATCTTCTTTCCATTCATAATTTTCTTTAAGTTTATATTCAAGTATTTAACAATTTCACCATTTGTAACTATTTAATCTGAGATACCTACACTTTGGCTTATAACAAATCTAGATATTTTATTATATAAGTGATAATCCGGGTAAATTAAATTATTTCACTCTGATTTAATTTATATGTCTAAATCATTTTATTAAATATTAAGGAATTATGATTTACATATCTCTTAATAGCTGAGTTTCAGGTGGAGGTTTCAACACCAACCCCAACATCAGATTTGATTTCCCTTCACCAATATTCCCAGGTTCCTTCACCCTCTCCAGACTGCCTCTTTAACAGGTGATATTTTAAGTTTACTGTTGCAGTTTGGATCTCATACTTGTGAACTATTGACTGTGTAATTTATATATATGTGCACATATATGTCTATACCATACCTTGATATGACTGATATGCTTGAGCTCCCACCCATACCTCCCTTTTTAATATCAATTTAGAATAAATTTGAAGATTAAAATTTAAATCAATATTACTGAATTATTCACATTTAGTTTTACTATAAGAGAACTATAAGAGAATTTGAAGTTTTTTGTTTCTGGTTTGTCTCATCTTGTTTTAAATAATTTGAATGCTCCTGGATTATAAGCTAGTATTCATCTGTTATATGTTCTGCTGAAGGTTTTCTTTGTGCAGTTTTTTTCTCCATCTGTCTCCAAATCTGTCTTGAATTTTTCCAATAGAAATTAATAAATTATGTTTTGTTATATAGAATGATTCTTATTAATTAAAAATAAAATAGGAATAAAAGAGTACCACATGAAATAAATTATAACCTTGCCAATTAATATGAGATTAATGTGATCTATCTATTGTTTAGGTGACAATAAGCATACAGTTTATATAATGTGCTTTGTCTATTGCTTGAACTAACCACTTTCCAATATGCATGTACAAATGTTTCTATCTAGTGTATATTTCATGCTATATAATCTCATTTGATTGATCATTTCCCATTCTTGAAACAATAATTTACATGATTTTTCATTATGACACATTCAAGACACATTGGACTATCTTTTTTGTTCCATTTATAACTAATTTATCTGAAAATTTAGGAGTGTAAAAGGACAGGTACTGATGTATTTTGACTGAATTACTCTCTATATCTGATTCATTACTTTGTGATATCTACATTTTAAAATTTGAATTATTGGGCTTTTCAAATGAAATATATTTATTAGATATGTGAAACATGTGTAATACTAAATTTTAGTCCGTTAACATTTGAAGGTGGAGTTTCTCCTAGCTCAGATTCATTAATTATTTTGATGTGTCTCTGAAAATTTAATTGTAAAAATGACATTTTAATCATAGGAAACTATTTGGTTTATTATAAGTGAGAAGCAAAAATGTCAACAGACATATCGTGTTCGAGAAATATTTTTAAATATTTCCAATAGAATGTTATATTACTTTGAAAATGTCTTGTGAATAAAATTCAAACGTTATTCTTTAGCAGTGGCCATTCATAAGGGCAATGATACCTGACATTATGGTTCCTTTTTAGGAAGTTAATGATTTGTTGGATCATTAAACATCATTCGTTCTCTGCATTTCATGCCTCTTTGAGCTAATCATTAACTCCATAGTAAGGATTGTGAGCAATAGAATTATTACCTAATTGTAGTCACAATTTTTCTTCCCTGTTTTACAAGTATTTATATAATTAATATCAGAAACTTTATTATTTATGTTATCTGTAAGGACAGATGCTTTCACTGGATCATTTTTCAATTTGCATGTTCTATAAGAGAACAGTATTTAAGTATAAGTATGGCACACATAAGTCATTCTTTAGTTTTTGGAAAACAAACAGTGGCTTCCACTGAAACACTCCACATAAAATGACAGTTTCTTTTGATGTGTTTTGGAGCCACACCTGGTGAAGCTCAGGGGTGGCTCCTGTCTCTGCACTCAGGAACCACTCCTGGCAATACAATACTGGGTGCCTAGGATGGAATCTAGGTCAGCCACATGCAGCACAAGCACTTTACCTGTTTTACTGCCTCTTCAGTCCCTAAAACAACAATTTAAAAGACACTAACACTAATGAAAAACACAGGAAAAGCTGTGTTTGAAATAGTTTTTCTGTGCATAAATTGATTTAGTTTATATTTACTGATTTTGAATGTTTCTTATCCAGTAGATAATGAGTGAAACAGAAACACATTTTCATTTAAAATTAAATATTTCAATTAATTTTTAATTTTAATTTTTTAATTACTTTTAGGGGCCATGATATACAGAGTTACAAAGCTGATCACGATTGGGTTTCAGCCATATGTATTTCAACACTCATCCCTTCACCAGTGTACATTTCCCACCACCAATGTCCCCAGTTTTCCTCCTGTCACTCTCCCCTTAGCCAGTCTCTATGGCAGACACTTCCCTTCTATCTATGCCTCTTTCTCTGTCTGTCTCTCTGTCTCTTTGTCTCAGTCTCTCTGTCTCTCCCTAGAATAATTTCTAGCTTTTTCAGGAATGACCATGCTATTTTCCAAAAACACTGAATAGTAGGCATTCCCATCAACAACGAATCTTCTTCTCTCAGCATTGGTGTCAGCATTGGATGATCTTATTCTTTTTGATGTGTGCCAGTCTGTGCAGCTACTTGCGAAAAAATGAACTCAGACCTCTTTCTAACATCAGGCACAAAAGTCAGATCAAAATGGGTAAAGAATTCATAAGATATATGGAGGAAAATTTGGGCAGAACCCTTCACGACATTAAAGCTAAAAACATCTTCAGAGATGAAACACCACTAACCAAGCAAGTGGAAGCAAAGATAAACAAATGAGACTACATTGAACTAAAAAGCTTCTGCACCTCAAAAGAAACTGACCAAGATACAAAGACAGCTCACGGATTGGAAAAAAAAAAACGTATTTTATCCAAGATCCATCTAATAGGAGGTTAATCCAAGATAGATAAGCAACTAGTAGAACTTTACAAGAAAAAATCCAACTCCATGAAAAAATGGAGAGACAAAATGAACAAAAACTTGCTAAAAGAATACATACAGGGGCTGGAGCAATAGTACAGTGGATAGGGCATTTGCCTTGCACGCTGCTAACCCGGGTTTGATTCCCAGCATCCCATATGGTCCCCCAAGCACTGCCAGGAATAATTCCTGAGTGCATGAGCCAGGAGTAACCCCTGTGCATCACTGGGTGTGACCCATGAAAAAAATGCTCTAGATCGCTAATCATCAGGGAGATGAAAATCAAAACAATGATATATTATCTCATACCACAGAAACATTTTAATTTAACCCAAAATATTAAAATATTACAAAGTTTAAAAGTATTTGCTCATCCTATCATTTGGTTGTCCTATAATGAAGCTATTATTTCCTATTTTTATATTAGACTGTACTCCAGAGGCCAAATAATGAAGACATGGGCCACATTCAGATAAAAGAAATGGATGTGTTTATAGAAATTAATCCAAACCATTTAAATTTTATTTCTAGGAGAAAACTAAGAAAAAATCTTGTGACCTTGTCTTGGGAAAATAATCTCAAATACAAAAACAAAAACTCATTCCTCTTTTTAAAACAATAAATTGGACTTTGCATAAATCAAGAAAATGTGCTTATTGAAAGACATTTCACAAATTATGGAACACTTCAAAAATTAGCTTGTCATCTTTAAAAACGGGCCCTCCTAATCTTCTCTGAATCATTTAAATTTTAGCTGCTGAAACGAGCACTCAAAAGACATTAAGAGAATAAAAATATGCACAACAATTGAAGAAAAAACTTAAAATCATTAATCTGTTAAAAAAAAGACTTGACCTCATAATTTATAAATGTTTCTCAAATCTCAATAAAATTTTAAAGTGGACAAAGGATTTTAAAAACACATTAGCAAAACATACACATGTATAGATTAAAATAAGTAACAAAATATTAGCAATGCCAAAAGGATATTTAACTATAAACAAAATGATTTTAAAAATTGACAATGCAAAGTGATGTGGGTAAGTAGAATTTGCACTTATTGCTTGATTCTCAAGGAAATTTTCAAGCGTACTTTGTTATATACTTAAAGATAAACTTAACAAACAACTCAGAATCTTCACTTCTATTTTCTCAAAAATATAAAATTTATGCAAAAACCAATAGATGAATACTCATTGGTTTAGCATAAAAATCTAAAAGCATCACGAATATTGTTTAGTCAGTAAATACATATTGGGGTTTGTCTATATTCTGGAATAGAAAAACTCTGTCCTATAGACTGTAGCACTGTCCTCCCATTGTTCACCGATTTGCGCGAGCAGGCACCAGTAACATCTCACAACAATTTGTGAGATTTGTGGTTACTGTTTTTGGCATGTCGATACGTCATGGGTAGCTTGCTGGGCTTTGCTGTGAGGGTGGGATACTCTCAGTAGCTTGCTGGGTTCTCTGAGAGGGGTGGAGGAATTGAACCTGGGTCGGCCTCATGCAAGGCAAACACCCTACCAGAAAAACACTTAGTATTATAAAACTAATAACAGAAAAATGCATTAACCTGGATATTTCTTAACTGTCACTTACATTGAGAAAGAAGCCAGAGTCAAAAGATACATACAATTCTATATCTATAGCATCATTGTATACACAATATAATAGAGATTAAAAGTTGCCAAGCACAGAAAATTTAGTGAAAGTGTAGAATTTAGTGAAATTTCAATATTTAGTGAATTTAGTGAATTTAGTGAAATTTAGTGAATTTAGTGAAAATTTAGTGAAAGTGTAGAGGACTGGAGCGATAGAACAGCAGTAGGGCATTTGCCTTGTGCTCAGCTGGCCAGGCCAAGCCGGATTTGATTCCTCTGCCCCTCTCCAAGAGCCCAGCAAGCTACCAAGAGTATCTCACCTGTGCTGCAAAGCCTGGCAAGCTACCCATGACGTACTCAATATAGCAAACACAGTAACAACAAGTCTCACTCTGGAGACATTACTGGGTCCAGTCGAGCAAATTGATGAACAACGGGAGGACAGTAGAATATAAAAGGTTACAAGGAAATTTCATGTGCGATTTATTTTTTTATTTTTTATTGGACAGCTATACATACACATTCTCAGAAATTTACAACAAAATGGGTCTTTGGAAAGTAGTGTGTGATCTGTACTCAAGGAGTGATACACTGACAATGGTATTAGAGTGCACCTGGATTAGAGTAGGAAGTATAATAAGATAATAATAAGAAGCATAATAAGATAATAAGAATAATAGGAGATGATGTTCAGAAAATCATAGTCATATCGGGCTTATTTTTTTCTTTGCTAAGAAAAGTTATTCAACTCTTCTCAGAATAAAAGTGACATTATCTGCTTATTTCAATAAAAATAAAGTTGTGAGTTTCCACTAAGGCCTTCACAACAAATGTTTTTTTAGGGAGTGAGCTATAATCAATCAGCATTGTTTAGGCATTGCTCTTTATGGTGAATCACTACAACAAAGTCTGAGACCTTTGACTCTGTCCATGAGAGTGTAGCAGACTATGAAACAGACTCAGTTGCTTGTCCAACATAACTCCCTATTCCCATCTTGTATACAGTTCTTTCTGAGTTAGTACTTATCAGTAAGACAAAGGATAAGATGTATGCACAGCTGTGAACATGGATAGTTGGGGCGTTTGGTAGATCAGGAGTCAGCCTGCATATATAATGCATAGTCTTGGTGCTGTGAGAATGCCCCAGTTTTCTTGGCAGTACACTTTCTGCCAGACTCTTATTTATCTTGCAGACCCTCTTAAATATGCCTAAACCGAACCCTCCTTATGAGATTTTTTTTCCTGTGAGTTCTTTCCAGCACTACATTTCCTGGTTAGACCTGAACTTTCCCTATATCAACTTAAGCTTCAACATTCTCTAGCAGGACATTCACTCTTGGTACACATTTAGCTTTTGTAACCTGACCCTAAGTTTGCTTTATATGGGATACAACCAAGAACTCAGGGCCTGAATTTATGGGGTGATTCCTCACAACTGTTCTGTGCTCACAAAAACACTCCTAGAAGTGCTCTCTCTGTGGATCATAAACAGTGTACGATATAGTATTGGGATGAGATGCATGCAAATTAAGCACCTTAAGCCCTGTACTAACTCTCTGATCTGGAAATTAGCTTTTTTGATTAGACAACTTCTAATGATTAAAAATATTAAATTTCTACTGACAAAAGTTCTGAGACATTTAAATTATACGATGGGTATTATAAATCAAGAAATATTCATAGTCTTAGTTAATTAAAGTTAATTTTCCTGTAAGACACATAACTGTTTTTGCAAATATAATACCAGGATTAATGTAGTCTAATTATATATATATAATCTGATGATTTAATAAGATTTTATAGAATATATGTTTCCCAAAATATACTGATTTGACTTCTTAATATTTATTAAACAAATAGATAGACTGAACCCTCTTACCCTGACATTACACTCCAATTTTCTAAGAATAGGAAATAAGAACCAATAATTGTAGCCTATAATCTGTTACTATGTAGCTAACTCTAATTATTCTTCTAAAGATATCAAAGGAGAGGAAGGACGGGGGTGAGGGTGAACTTGAGGGCATTAGTGGAGAGAGACTGGCGCTGGTGGTGACTTTGGAGTTATTTGCCAGAAGCTTTAAAACTGTTGTAAATCTTCATGCTAAAATTTCCTTTAAAAAGTTTATCAGAATTGTTATGAACATTTTTAATTTGAGTGTTTCTTATTGAATTATTAAGTACCATGCTCTATTTTATAGCCATCTGAACACCTCAAACTATTGCTGAACATAAACTCAAAATATCATAGAACGCTTCAAAGTGAACTATTAAGAGCTAAATTTTTTTTTAGGTGTTTCAGGGTGAATTATAGCAATTCTACTATCTCGAATATCAATCAATTTTATGTAATATTCATCTCCAGAGAAACTTATTTTTAATTTATAATGCAAATTTTCCTTATTTTAAATAAAGTTTGACTACCTTTGTTTGATATTTCAAGATGTAGAAATCAATGCTAACACTTCCTATTGAAAAAACCCTTTCAGGGGCTGAGAGATAGCACAGCGGGTAGGGCGCTTGCCTTGCACGCGGCCGACCGGGGTTTGATTCCCAGCATCCCATATGGTCCCCTGAGTGCGCCAGGAGTCAGTCCTGAGTGCAGAGCCAGGAGTAACCCCCGTGCATCGCCAGGTGTGACCCAAAAAGAAAAAAAAATAGAACACCCTTTCATAAATTCTCTACTCAGTTCTTCTAGTGAAGAGCTAAATTTTTGCATTGTTATTTATTGAATATTTTCTATCATTTTGGATTTTTTCTTTTTAAAATAAATTTGCTTTACCCTTGAACTTTTGTTGTTGCAGTGATGGAGTGGAGCTAATTGCGAGGGTGTACTTTGTTGTGTGGTGCTCACACATATTTGGGTAAGGTGCACTGAAATTGCACAGCAGGAACCTCAAGAGATAGTGCTTCCAGGGTTTCACTGGGCGAGTGGACTGTGTTGGATATCCAATTGGTCACTTTACGTTTTCAAAATCATTGAATTGGGCCTGGAGCGATAGCACAGCATGTAGGGCGGTTGCCTTGCACACGGCCAACCCAGGCTCCATTCCCAGCATCCCATATGGTCCTCGAGCACCACCAGGAGTAATTCCTGAGTGCACATGCAGGAGTAACCCCTAAGCTTTGCCAGGTGTGACCCAAAAAGCAAAAAAAAAAAAAATCATTGTATTATGCCTGGTGTATTTTATTGTTAGAATAGTTGATGGTTGCTTGCATAAAGCTCCTGGTAGTGTAGTTTAGCAATTCTTTAGCTACTGTTTCAGGAAATGTCTTTGCTGAGTGAGAAACTCGCTCAGGGTCAGAATATTGCCTTCAAGATCAACCTATACTCAAGGAATGATCTATATAAATGATCATGATTCAGTAAAGCATAACTTAAAATGCCCTACTAGTTTCTTAGTTCCCTGTGAGGTCGACTATGGTTGCCTTTAGGACCATGTTACAGTTGACCCATAGTTGACTTTACCCCTCTGTCCAAGGCATGCTTATTTTTTCTCTTTCACAGATATTGATGAGAAAATATATGAACCAAAATCTCATTTCAGAGTCTACTTCCTAAGGAACACCAACTGTAAGAAAGTCAGAAATGTCTGATTTACATTATGCCCTACACTAGGTATGACATAGATGTTACTTTTGATAAAAAAAGACTAAAAGTCAATTTCTGTGTGATAAAAATTTTCCATCTAATATTCTTATTTGTAGTAATGTAGTAGTATTTAACAGTTGTGTTGTGAAGGGAATAATTTTACGTATTATTTAAAATTCTATCAGTGTTTTGTAATTCTTTGCAATGATTTATAACAAATAAATTAAAATGATAATAATAATATTAACAATATTTATTGGACAGTAACTCACTGGTCGTTTTTAAAAAGTAAACATTTATTTGGGGATATATTTAAATTTATAGAAAACAAAGTTGCAATGAATTATCATATGTTCCTCACCTATTTTCCACTTCTATTACCATAGTAACTTAGTAAAAATAAAATTGCTTGCATATTATATTTAGCTAAATTCCAAACATCATTCAGATTTGACCATTTTTACATTAATATGCTTTTTGTGTTTCAGAATTCAATCCATTATCTAACATTGTACTTTTTGGTTGTTTCTCCCTAGTCTCCTTTGCTTTATGGCCATTTTAAAATTTTGAATAGTACC